TACAGGCCCAAGCATTTATTGTATCTACAATTCTGAAAGAAGCCTGTTATTTACAGAACTTAAAAGTCATTCCTTACCAGATGGCTGTGTTATCTCTTTAGCTAATCCAAATGACTCTGCAAATCCTAATCGTCAAAATCCTTTATCTCTCTGAAAGACCCATGGGTGCCTGTGTACATGTCTTGGGTGAAGAAAAAATTTCTTTGCCCATGAAAACTCTGGCATTTATCTCATGCATAGAATGTGGAAGGCAACCCTCGTGTGTGTGTATATATATATATATATATATACATACATATACACACACACACTGTATTGTTGAGAGGTATTGATTGTATAAATCAGTTATGCACATACAACGTTAAAAAAAACAAATAAAATAGGATTGACCCAAATTATTATAATTTAAATTTAAAGCCTGTCAATAACCTGTAAAAAGAACTATAGCACACAGAATAATAAGTAAAGTAATATGTTTTAATGCAATAATGATTTTAACTGTGGTTAATAACCGCCCAGCACGCACACTCTGCTCCTCACAAGACCTCCTTCTCTTTTGTTCCTGGTCTCCTCCTCCCCATGCCCGCCTCCAGGACTTCTCCAGGGTGTCACCCATCCTCTGGAACTCCCTGCCCCAACCCATCAGATTATCACCTACTCTCCTCTCCTTTAGGCGCACCCTGAAAACCCATCTCTTCAGGGAAGCCTACCCCACCCCCTGCTAACTTGCCGACCTCCTCCACTCTTCCTACCACTCCATTCCCCACAGCTATCTCCTCTTGTGCCACCATCCCCTCCCTCCTAGATTGTAAGCTTGAAAGAGCAGGGCCCTCAATCCCCTCATGTTTTGCATTGTATTGGTATTGTTCTGTCACATGTTCTGTCCCCCTTTGTAATGTACAGCGCTGAGCGAACTATTGGCGCTTTATAAATACTGTATAATAATAATAGATAACGCTTGCAATTTTGGATACTGTTGATTACTTGGAATAAATACAACACATGAAATACATTTTTAGTCTAGTCTGTTCTACAATGCTTAGATTTAAACCACTTTAAAGTGGTAGTAAACGCTATTTTTTATTTTTTACCTACAGGTAAGCTTATAATAAAGCTTACCTGTAGGTAAATGAATATCTCTTAAATGTGCACAGTTTAGGAAATATTCTAGTGAGCAGCATCCACTGACCAGCCACCGTGACATTCAAGCGACCGCAGCCCAGGAACCCGGAAGGAAGACCAAGTGAAAATAGAAGCCCTTTCAGAGGTGACAGTGCACCCTTGAGGGCTTAGTTTCAAGGAAGTCTTCCATAATGTGCTAGTATGCGATGCATACTAGCACATTATGCCTTTACCTTGCAGGGGAAAATCTTTTTTTTTTTTAAGTTTACTGCCACTTTAATACTGTTGGTGATATATAAAACCTGTATAATAATACTCTACATTTTAACCTTTAAATAAGCAGCCTCTCTACTCTTATACTAAAGGTTACCATAAAAAAAATAACAAACATGTTATATTTACCTGCTCTGTGCAATGGTTATGCACAGAGCAGCCCTGATCTTCCTCTTTTTGGTTTCCCTGCTTGCACTTCTTGCTCCTCCTCCCTGCTGAGTGTGGAAATCTGCTTGCTCTGGGGGCACTCTCTCCTGATTCGCCTCTGTGTGTCACACAGAGCACAGATCTGCTCCACCCCTTGCTCCCTTCTCACAGCAGTGTCTCAGCCGATGAGGAGGGAGAGACCCAGGAGAGCCGCTGCTCTTCCACACATTGCTGGATCGAGATCAGGCCAGGAAAGTTTTGGGGGAGCTGAGGGTGGGATGCCTTAATTTATAGAATTATAAATTCTATGACAAAGCTGCAGATCACTGTAGACAACCATTTTGAATAAGAATGCAGTAGAATTTAAATGCAATAAAGTAGAGCAGAGTAGAGTTATTTTGGGAAACTACCTCTTTAAAAAGTGAAATGTTTTGCTTACATAGTAAATGTTACATTTATTTCTATATCAGTGTTATATAAAGTCAAATCTGTGTAATGTTAGTTTTCACGTGTGCTTATGAGTAGCTAGGGTACCAAAACCATTGTTAGTACTAACAATGAAAAGCAATTTTCACAACAAGTATTTTCATAACAGACAAAAAAAAATTCTATTTAATGATTTGTGTTAATATTGTTAGTAAACCTGATTTCTGAGAATATTAAAGGTGATTTAACAAAATTTCACATAGCAAATGCCATTGGGTTAATTGGACTATTCTGTTTGTTCTTTAACTCCTTTGTTGTAGTTTCCATGGTATCTGTAATCCGTATCCTTATTATGCAGTTAAAAAGTAAGCTGTAGAACAAGCTGTAAGTGATGTCATTTTAATGGTCTTGTAATATAGTATCTCACAAAACTATTTAATGCAGACTTTTACTCTCTCAATCAACATTGACTATTTTTAATCCTTATGCCACTAGTATTAGTAAATAGATAGGAAAGTATATCATATTTACTTGTTTTCCATTTCTATAATTACTTCCTGGTTTCAATGCCTAGGCATAAATGATGTCATACATCCCAGGAGTCTTCAGGAGGAGAACAGGGGGTTTCTCAGCTAAGCACAATCTCCTGTCTACATGCCTGAGCTAAGGGCAGATTGTCACAAGTTAGCCTGCAGTTTCTTGTTTGTGTTTTTACCTTCTTGCTGCAGTCCTGTTCCTGAACCCTTCTCATGTGTTTGTCTGTGCTCATCTATGGGCGTCATCTGCTGTCGTCTGGGTTTTATTTCCTTTCCATCACTTTCTGGCCCGCCTCTTTGTTTGCCTGTCTATATAAGACGTGCTCAGACTAGGCCACTTTGCCTCCGCAACTTCCTAGTTGTTGGAGCTCCCGTGTGTTTCTACTGTCTGAATCCTACATTGACAACTTGTGTACTGAACCCGGCTTTGTTCTCTGACCTTGCTTGTTTTCCGCCTGTCCTGACCTCAGCTTGCCTATTGGTTTCCGTTGACTCCTCCCATTATACTCTGCTACCGGAAAGCAGTCTCTTCAACCTCAACTGGGCATACCTGGGGTCTGCGACCTGGTCCCAGCTTGTTGCAAGTCCATCCCCACCATCAAGGGCTTTGGTGAAGAAGCAGGTTGGGGCTTAGACTCCGCTCCCTGGGGAACTCCAAGTTGAGGATCAATAAGAGCTCACTACCACAGGTGCTGACAGTTTTCTCAGGCCATGAGCTCCTCAGAGACCCCGCAGCCTCTCCTGGAATAACTCCAGTGTTTGGCGCAGAAAGTCGATGTACAGCAGGCCTATCAGGAACATATTATGCAGTGTCTGCAGGAAGTTTCCTACCTGTTGGATCAGCTGCAAATTTTGTCCCCTTCCTCACCGTCTGTTTCGGGCTCCTGATCTGGTTCCTGCTGCTCCAACCCCGCTGTTCCTCCAGTGGAACACAGTCCTTCAAAACTCCAGCTGCTCCACTGCCTCGCTTCTATGGTTATCCCCAAGCTTGTTGGGGCTTCATCAATCAGTGCTCAATTCACTTTGAGCTAGCAACCCACCATTTTTCTACTGACCGTTCCAAGGCAGCGTACATGATTTCCCTCCTTTCTGGTGAAGCACTGGCTTGGGCCTCCCCACTGTGGGAGCATCAAGATCCAACTATTTGCATTCTCCCAGCCTTCCTGCAAGCTTTTTGTAAAACCTTCAATGTGCCCAGCAGGACTTCATCTGCTGTAGGAGCTCTTCTTCGGCTTCGTCAAGGTAGCATGACTGTTGGACAATATGCAGTTCGGTTTTGCACCTTAGATTCGGAACTAGCATGGAATAATGAGGCCCTCTCTGCAATCTTTTGGCAGGGTCTAGCAGACCATATTAAGGACAAACTAGCTGGAAGAACCATACCCACCACCCTGGATGACTTGATTGCTCTTAGCATCCAAATCGATATCCGCTTCCAGGAGAAAGATCTGGAAAGGGCTCGTCCACGTCACCCCCCCCAGTGGGTTCATTTGCTCCTCTTTTCCAGAAAGCCCTGATCAACTTACCTCTGCAACCGTACCAACATCTGAAGAGCCTATGCAGTTAGGCCGAACACACCTCACTCCACAAGAGCGATCGCGTCTCCTAAGATTTGGTTTATGCCTTTACTGTGGGGCTGAAGGTCATCTAATTAAGTCGTGTTCTGTCCGCCCAGGAAACTCAGGCCTAGGTCATTCTGAATGAGGTGATCTAGACCAGAACCTGAATTCCGCCATCTTCCCTCGATTTATCATACCTGTCTCCATTCATTGGACCCTGAACTTGTACCAGGTTTCTGCTTATGTGGACTCTGGGGCAGCGGGGAACTTCATTGCGCAATCTTTGGCCACTGAATTGGGCATTCTTCTTGTCCCCTGGATGACACCCCAATCAGTATCTACAGTTGATGGCTCTACCTTGGCCTTAGGACCTCTACGCTTCCGAACCACCTCCATAACTATGCATGTTGGCGCTCTTCATCATGAGGAAATCTCCTACCTGATCCTCCCTAAGTCTTCTAGCCCCATCATTCTTGGACTTCCATGGTTGCAGAAACACTCACCCAATCTTGACTGGAACTCTGGCCAAGTATTGTCTTTGGGGTCAAAATTCAATCGGACTTGTCTCCTTAAGGTGCTCCCACCTCGCACTGTACCCGTGGCTGAGGCCACCTATGATGTACCTGGTGATGGAGGCCAATGGAGAGAGGGCTTCCCTTGCGGCTAAGTTTCAGACTCCCCTGAGAGTGGGATAGTGGGAGTCAGGCCCAAAGTTGCACAGGTCGCCTGTAGAAGTGCTGGTTGGTGGTCCACTCAGAAGCACAGCTGGTGCACGGAGATAGGTCTGCAGACAGGAGGCACCTGTGCGTGGTATGCAAGCCCTTTTGGGATTTAGATGTTTACTGGGTAGTCAGTTCAAGCCAAGGTCAGGTACCAGGTGGATGCTGTCCACCTTTAGTTCCTTACCCTCTTTGTTGCACAAACCATCGGTCCTTTTCAATACTGTGCAGCTCAGAGCTCCTATTTCACTACTTTCTGGATGGGTGGAGGTCCCAACATCTGTGACCTCTGTACCATCTGAGTTCCCAGCTTTGTGCGCCCTGCCTGCTGAGACCTCAAAACTCCCTTCAGCTGCTTTGGATCCAGCCGTGGTTTCCACATTAGTAGCTACTGTACCTTCTGTCCCCTGTCCCGCCCCCATACACCATACTGTGTCCTCTGTTCCCTGTACTGCCCCCATATACTCTACAGTGCCCTCTGTCCCCTGTATTACCCCAGGTTCCTGTTCTGCACAGCCTGTCTTGCCCACTGTACAAATCAAAGCCTTCGCGCCTACTCCTGTGTCCTCCCTGGCAGCCTCCTCACCAGACCCTGCATCCTGGTTATTGGTGTCTGCTCCAGCCCAGCTTCCTGTCTTATGTTTTCCCATTCTTACCCCTTCTGAGGGAAATGTTTCCAACAACTTACATCTGTCAGCTTCCAAGTACAAAGTATCTGCAGATTGTCATCGCTGGGTGAGTCCCAAATTTTTCCCTGGTGACAAGGTTTGGCTCTCTACCGAGAATATCCATCTACGAGTACCCTCTATGAAATTTGAAATTTGCTCCTTGTTTTATTGGTCCATTTACCATCCTTCGCCAGGTCAATCCTGTTGCTTTTAAACTTCGCCTCCCTTCACATCTGAGAATCACTAATGTTTTTCATGTTTCTCTTCTGAGACCGTACATCATCAACAGGTTTTCCTGTCCTCATCGTCATCCTTTCCCAATAGTGAATACTTCAGATCAGTATTTAGTCAAGCAAATCTTGGATTCCAAATTCATCAGAGGGAAGCTTTTGTATCTAATTGACTGGGAGGGATATGGTCCTGAGGAGAGGTGTTGGATTCCTTCTACTGATGTTTCTGCACCACGTCTGGTGGAATTTTTTCATCAGAGATTTCCTCTTAAGCCTGGCCCTAAACAAGTGGGGAGACCTCATAAGAGGGGGGTACTGTCACATGCTTGCATGCAGTTTCTTGTTTATGTTCTTACCTTCTTGCTGCAGTCCTGTTCCTGATCCCTTCTCATGTGTTTGTCTGTGCTCATCTATGGGCGTCATTTGCTGTCCTCTGGGTTTTATTTCCTTCCCTTCCATCACTTCCTACATGAATCATATGCCCTTATTCAAGATGGCCACAGACATAAATTCTAGGGGAGGGGCTGTTTCTCAGCAAAATAGAGCATGAAGACATGGATGGGGGAGTTTGCTTTAATTATTAAAAATTTATTAAATGGTATTTTTGGTTTGTGGTGTGCAGATACAGTGTAGTTCCACTTTTGTTTAGGGCTGATATTGTTTAACCATTACATTCTTTCATGTTGCTGCATTCTTTTAAACTACAGGTTAAAAAGGTAACTAGTTAAAACAGGAAATCTAATCTTGTGATACCCACAGTTATCTGAAATTGCTCTTTAAATAACAACTATTATATTTCTATAACCTGTTAGCTCTTATCTTTTTAATAACCTGTATCTTAGGTGTACAGTCTGTTGATCATGATTACTTTGTGTTTAACATCTGTGCTTCTGTGAACCTTGGAATTGTGCTTTTGAAATAACTCCTCAACAAAAAAACTTAAAACAATTTAACATAAAACAATAGAATGTCAGTCAAAAGGAAAGGACACATCTGTTGTCAGTTTCTTTATTGCTATCTATGTCTCCATTGATCAGATACAGGTGAGCAATGTTAGGGAAGTCAGGAAAAACAGAAATTTAGCACGAAGGCTCCATTAACACCGTTGAGTTCTATAAATGTGTGCAAAATCATGCATTTTTGCGTGCATTTGCAAAACCTATCAAAAATGTGTTTCTCATTTATGGTGCCATTCATTGATAACTGCACTCCAAATATGGCATGTAGATGTACTTTTTACCACACACAAAAATGTTCAACAAACGTGGCAAATGCCTGGTAAAAATCAAGCAAAAATGAATGTAAAGCTACATGAGCTACTTTGCTGCATTTGTCACGCATAGAACAGCCCACTAAAATTGATTCACAATAAGAGCGCAAAAATATGTGTGTCTAGAAAAAGCAATATGTGAATGCAGCCTAATGGTTGCTGGTGAACTTGCCCTTTACTGGTGTTCAGAAATGAACAGCCCATGTAAGGTTTTGATGAAACTAAGAAAATAAGAGCACTTGTAATGAAAGCCAGAATGATTAAAACCATAATCACCATATTCCAAGAGATCTATGTGGTAGTATGGCACAAATAGAGAGAATGGCACAAGTCACATGCTAAAAGGAATAATGGGAGAGGCTTACTTTGATGTTAACATGGCTGTGGGAAGCCTGGATAGTAAACTTCACAGATGGAAGGATGGTAGAAGGGCAGCAAATGGTGGGGAATGTATCCAAAAACCAATAGCCTGGTGAGATGCCACTTGAGAGACCAGGAAGACCTCCTTGGTGTCACCAAGGAATGCACACCGGAAGTGATGTTGCGGCACACTGGAAGTGACCTCGGTGGAGGGCAGGGAAGCCAACGATAGCCATCATGAGCCCTCAGCAGGAAGGATACTGGCCAAAACAAATTCCAGTTACCATGACACTGCGTTTTGCACAGATCCGTGCTTTGTGTGCTTTTCAGCATTTGACTTGTGTTAGTTTTCTATTTGTGTCATACTACTCTTAGAATACGGTGATTATGGTTTTATCAATCTATTAAACATTTGAATTGGATATATTGACTGTTGGTTGTATACATCATTGCATAATAATTTTGGCTTTCACCACGAGCGCTCTGATTTTCTTGGTTTCATCAATATTACATTAAACTCCTAATGGTCATCAGAGCAGCTGTGGGATCAGCCTTGTTTACTCTGTTGGTTGTGGGATTTAGCACCTAGTGGTTTGTCTATTTCATGTAAGATTTTGACATTCTCCATTTACCACCAATATAATTGGGCAGTAAATCATTGACCACAAGTGTGATATGGCTGTTCAATTGCCTACTGAAGTTATATGGTATTTATACTAGCTACTAATGTAAAGAGTCTTTTTTTAAGGGAAACTGCTCTACTCTATATACTGTGCTGTTTTATAACACACTGTTTGTTACATGTGCTAAACCATTGTACTATTTAGGCTATGCTCTATATATTATCTTTCAGACATGTGCTGTATGTCACATACTGCAGGCCACAGAATTCCATATGCTATATTATGCATTATATACTCTGCTGCAGTCTATACACTATGTGGTACATTACATGCTCCAGTCCTAGCATGGACCATTGCATTATGCACATCATGCTGCCCATCTCATTTTTCAGACTGATACACACCATACACCATTTTGTTAGCTACATACAGCAGACCACTGTGCTCATTAAATGTGCCACTGCACAGTTTTATTTTGTCTTGATGTATAATTGTATATTATTGAATTTCAGAATGTTTGGTCTCCTATCTCCTCTTGAAGAAGCTGGGTACTCCTGTGAAACGGATTGAGGTTCTGAACATCTCAGTTTACTTATATGATGTTTGCTCGATGTATTGGTGTATATATTGGTATATATATTATTAATATTGTTTGGACTGTGGGAAAATACAGTTGAACATAAAACTTACACATTTGAATTATCATTCCAGCTCAACAGTTTCAACAGCTGTTAGGTGTTTTTGGACAGGCTGAAATTTCTGAGAGATTGAATAGGCATCTGGAAACATAACACAAATTTGCTGCTAAATTTGTAGTCTGTTTTGGACAGAATACCTTTTCTGTGGGGGAGAGCATGTAGATTGCAGCTTGAAATAAGAAATTCCTTTTTTTCCCAAAAATTATTCAAGCTGATACATGTTAACAAGCTAGCAACACAGCTTTTAAACTTTGTTTGGAGCGGCTGCTATATGTCAACCATGCAACATATAGATGGAGTTATTTCTTCCCAAACAGAATAGACAGACAATATACAGCTGTTATATCCTTTGGATGGCAAAATAGTGTGTGAGATAGAGAGCAGGCAGACTACATCTGGAAAAAAATAACTTATTCTATTTTTTAATGAAATCTAAACTAGAATATTAATGATTTTAAGCACAACATTTAAGTCTTTATGGATAGGTCACTGATTCTAACAGATTTCATAAAAAAACATAACATTTGGATTTTTTTTTTTTTCCATTGACATAATATAAATATTGTACAGATTGCTGAAGAGAATCTCATTCTTATTACTGGGAGAATAATTTCAAGGCAGAGGTGAGGCCTATTGCAGCTAGAAAAGTTACCTAAAACTACATTGTTTCAGACACAGTTTTTACAAATTGCATATATTTGTAGAACAGAATTGCATTCTTTTTATAGAAGGCACATTTGGAGGATTCAATCGGCTTCTTTCTGCTATACATATGAATAACAAATGCATTTTCTAGAAAGATACTGTACTATATGAAATTTGTATGGATTAGCTAATAAGAATCTCATCAATTTTTAGAAGGTAATCTTGGAGATATGGAATTGCCTCATTTCAGCATGAAATTTTAATGCAAATGTAATTTCTATCGATTTGCTTTACAGAATCCTATCTTTTTTCAGGAGATAATTTGGAAGGCAGGGGTTGGCTTATTTCTTGCCATAAATTTTAAATGAAACTGTGATGTTCACAAAAGCATTTTGTAAATTGAATACCATTTTATGATAAGCTGAATCACATTCTTTAGGATGTGATGGAGTTTTGGAGGCACAGAGAATAAGCCGATCAGTTTACCGTCCACTGCCTGTGCCATGTAATCACTGTAACCAGTCACGGCAGATCACATGACAGTTGAACACAATGGATGGTGTTCATTCATGCCATCCATTGTGTACTATTGTGTTGATCTCTGTGATTAGTCACAGTGATCAAATGGTACAGACAGGGCAAATAATAGCCCATCTGTACCATGTGATTAGATGTGGTCAATCACAGCTAACCACAATAGTAAACACTGAAATAATTAATTTAATTTCATTCAGTAAAAATGGTTCACTGGTATAAGCAATTATAGTGTGTAAAAAAAAAAATCCTGATCATTTCTCCAGAGTAGTACAGTGTTACTATTGTAATACTGTATTTCTTTGGTCACAGTATGTTAAAAAAAAAGTAGTAAAAATAAAAAAAATTTAAAACATGATTAACTTTTTTTTTTTTACTTACTGTCACCAGTCAGTGTCCCTGATCACTGCCACACCAGTTGTAAGATGACGTTGTACTGCACTGGTGACTATATGTTAAAAAAAAAAGTGAAAAACTTTTTTTAAAAAATGTCTTCATTTTCCAAAAAATTGTGACAAAAATTACAGCTTAAAAAAAAAACTTGCCATACCTCTGAGGTATTTGTACTTTTCTGGCATTTTCAGACCTCAAGAAATTAGATAGGCTGTCAGTACAGCAGCAATGATCAATTTTCAAATATATATACCAGTTTATAGGCTCTATAAATTCCCTACAGACTAAATACACTAATTTGGGTTATTTTTAACAAATAAATGTAGAATACATTTTGGCCTAAATGTATGAAGAAATAATATTTATTTGCACAATTTCATAATAGAAAAGAAGACAAATGTGCCTTTTAAACCGCTTGCCGCCCTGCCACTGTGTATATACGTGTGCAGGGCGGCAGTGGAGCGCAAAAGCACGTTTTAAAAACGTGCTGCGCGCTCCCGACACATTCGCGGGTAGGGGGCGCGCGCGCGCGCGCAGCTCCCGCCGACCCGCGGGTGATACAATTCGATCCAGGAGGGATCAATCATTAGATTTCAGCCAGTGATTTCTGGCTGAAATCACATGATCGGTCCCTGTCCTATCCTGTCCTGTGTTGACATTTACACAGGGCAGGATATGATGTCATTCTTCTCTGACTGGACACATTCCGTTCCAGACAGAGAAGAAGACATCCAAACAGTGAGTAAAAACACTACACACTGACAGTTA